AGCTGCGACCTCATGCCGGTCCTGGCTCGCCTCTCCCCGCTGACGGCCTCGAGCATCTTCTCACCTGCGTCCGGGCCACTCGTGTGCCATCTTTGGAGAATGTCGATTCAAACCCTTTACCCATTTCAAAAACTGGGTTACTTGTCCTTTTGTTACCGAGTTAGGGTTTTTGTTATGAAGAGTTCTTTATACATTCTGGGTACGAGTCCCTTACACCTAAGGGGTTTGTAAACAACTGTTTCTCATTGTGGGTTGTCTTTGAACTTCCTTTTGCAATAATTTTTAAATGCAAAAGGTACAGTTTATATTCTTAAGGCCCACTGTGGTGAAATCAGCTTTAAAGTGAAGAGTTCAGGGCATTTAGCACATCGACAATGTGTGCAACCACCACCTCACGTCTAGTCCCAAAACGTTTCCATCCCATGGAGGAGACCCCGCCCCCCAGCAGTCACTCTCGCCCCAAAGCCCCTGACCCCGCCCCTTCCTGTCTCCGTGGCTTTGCCTGCTCTGGACCTTGCGCGCTGCACACGGATGGAACCCACAGCATGTGAGCGGTCCGTCTGGCTTCTCTCCCGCTGCAGCGGGTCTTTGAGGTTCTTCACAGCTCGCTTTCTCGGCGGCACCCTCTGAAGCACAAACGTGTTTAATTTTGAAGAAGTTCCATGTTTTTCTTTTGTTGCTAGTACTTTCGGTATCAGATCTAAGAAACCATTTCCGAAGCGAAAGTCACAAAGAGTTCCTCCTACGGTTTCCTAAAATGATTCTTAAAATGATCCCATGATTTTTTTACTTTAGTTTTTAGTTTTTGCAGTCAAAGGTGGGATATTTTATTTATTTATTTGTGTATTGTTTGAGTTTGGCATTTTTTTTTTACTAGAGGCCCAGTGCACGGACTCATGCACCGGTGGGGTCCTCGGCCTGGCCTGTGCCCTCTCACAATTCAGGCCCTCCAGTGATGGTCGGAGAGCCGGTTTAGGCCCGGTCCCCGCAGGGCAGACCGAGGGCCCCCACCAGGGCATGAATCGGTGCACCGGGCCTCTAGTATGCATACAGATCTTTGGTTAATCTCTTCACGCCCTCCCCCTCCCCTCTGAGATCCACCAGTCTGTTCCATGTTTCCATGCCTGTG